AAAATGCTGGAGAATTTAACAACAATAGAAACCAACAAGAGTTAAAAAAAATTTTGAATGAAGATATGCAATTCTACGATGTTTATATAGGAAATGGCTAGCCGGAGAGGTTTTTTTTTGTATATAGCGCCACAAAAAGTGGCTTTATACGCTTTTGAATTATTGAACCCAGAAATTATTGGTGGGGTGAGGTAATAAGGGGTATAGCGCCATTAATAGTGGCGCTATATAAGATGTGTCAGCTTTTAATTAATATAACGCCACAAAAAGTGGCTTTATACGCTTTTGAATTATTGAACCCAGAAATTATTGGTGGGGTGAGGTAATAAGGGGTATAGCGCCATTAATAGTGGCGCTATATAAGATGTGTCAGCTTTTAATTAATATAACGCCACAAAAAGTGGCGCTATACAGTAACGGTGCAGTTACCGTTACTGTATAGCGCCACTTTTTGTGACGTTATATATAGTTTGGTAACTTTTTTTTTAATACTTATTTTCGTATTTTGAATCAAAAAGAACCACATTTTGGTTCCGGACTCACAACAAACAAGTGAGGGAATTAATGCTTGAAAGATAGTAATTTTATCACATCTCAAAGCCTAAATCATACCCACTGGCCCAAGTCCCAACAAAGAATATTCAAAATTTTAAGCCACATCAACACTTACAATAGTGACGTATAAAGTAAATACTATAAACTCATGGGCTGCATAAAGTTTGTTGACGCGTTGTTTATTTCAAGCAAAATTACGTTTACACAACGCATATTTCATCACATGACATGCAATCTCAAGATGTGACACATACAATTTTCAAGAGATTTCTATCATCCGTAAACTGTGGAAATCCTATTCTAAAAGAACAGTACCCTAAAAGAATATGTTTCAACTTTTTGCCCAGTTTATTAGGTAGTAGTATCTCTTATTGGGTTAGGCAAGTTATGATTTAATCTTAGAACATGATGAGAATAATTAAAAATAATGGGCACCAGTTGATGTTCTTTTCAGTGACGACAAGTATGGTCTTAGTGAAGGAAGATTAAGATAATTCGTCAATAGATGTGGCTTACACTAATAAGTGTTAAATGAATTTTATGATAGTGATCACTGATCAGTGACTCGGGTTCAAATTTCTTGTGCCATTAAATTACTTTTTTATGTTTCATAGTGGAAGAAATATTTTTTGTTTAAGAACAAAACCAATGTTTAGAGAGTTTTGAGAATTCAAAGACAGAATCTAACGCTACTGTAGGTTTCTTGTTGTCATATTGTTTATGTTTTGATGCCAAGCCATAAAGAAATCAAGAGTCCACTGCTCAAATGGTTACTCAATTATCTGAAATTATCTATTAAAATTTTTTTTTTTTTATTTGTAACAATAAAATTACTTAAATATGTCTATAGCACTCAGAAGGTCACTCAACTAGATTTCTCAAATTTTATTATTATCAAATACCTACTAAATTATCAATTTTTGTATTTTTTTTTATTTTTTAATTATATGATTTTTTTCTCTTTTTAATTTAAATTATGAACTTTCCTATAGAATAAATAAGTTTTATTTTAAAAAAATAAAATAGTATTTAAGCCATACATAATGTTGGAATAATAATATATTGAGCATAGTAAATAATTTTATTAGAATAATTTATTTGTAATAATAATTTTGATGTTAACAAATAAACTCAAAAATTTATTTACACAATTGAGAATGAAAGAAAATAAACATTTTCAAAATATATATTCTATGCACGTAATATAAAAATAATTATTTAAAATAAAAGTATTTTTATAATATGCATTATATATTTTTGAAAATTATATTTTATTTTTTTGATATTATATATTCTAGAATATTATTTTTTTATTTTTTAAATAAAATTTATTTTCTCTATAAATAAGTCCATAATGTAGATTAAAAAGAGAGAGAAAATATAATATTACAAAAGCTTAAAAAAAGACAAAAGTTGATAATTTAGAGGGCAAAATAAGTATTTGACAATCGATAGTTTAAGAAATCTAGTTGAGCGAGTGCTATATGCATAGTTAAGTGATTTTTCTGTTACAAACGAAAGAAAGATGACTTTACTAGATAATTTCGGATAATTGAATGACCATTTGAATAATAATAGACTCAGAATTCAAGATGAATGTTTTCTTTCTTCTTCATTCTTTCGGTTGGATATATTTTAAGGGGTTGTGTGTTTGTCAGATTTTATTCATTCTTTGGATACCTTTTTCTTTCTGCGAATTACAATGGAAACGCTTGAGCTTTTGGGTAACGTGGAGATGGAATCTGTATAATGATTTGATGTTATATATTTATGTGTGTGTATACATATAAAAGTATACTTTCAGGCATCATTATTTTGTAACATGTGAAAACAGAAAAAATCAGCTTGATGGAATCCGAATAAAAAGTGAAAAGATCCTGCATTTATCTCTCTAAATATAAAATTCTCTTAGAGCGGATCCAAGATTAAAGCATATGAGTTTATATATTGATCTCAAGTTAATATATAACAATAATTGGATTCACAATAAATTTTTTACATATTTAATGAATTTCTTAATACATACTTAATAGATTTTGAAGGTTCACATGAACACATGGATAACATTGTACATATCCGTCTCTATCTCATTCTTTTTTTTTTCTCTTTATAAATATAAAAGTATACATCTGGGCATCATTATTTTGAAATTTAAAAAAAAAAACCATCATTCTGCACCCCATCCCTGTTGATTAAGGAAAATCGAAGTAAATTTGTACAAAATTGTTCTAGGGTTTGATAAGAGATTGAGCAAAAAAAAAAAACATGATGAGCAGCACCTGGAAGTGGCTTAGTGAAGAGGTCAGCCAACTGAGTAGAAGAAGAAGTGTGTACCAAATGAATCAAACCCTCAACAAGCTTGGTATGAACCAGATAACAATCCAACTGGATATATTTGGTTCTTTCATGGAAAATTGGGTTTCTAGCAATGTGGATTGCAGCTTGACTGGCACAAAATAAAGTATATAGGAAGAGCAAGGAAGACCCAAGTCAGCAAGCAATCTAGACAATCAGGCCAGCTCAGCCACGCCTTTATTCATGGCTCTATACTTAGCTTTAGCAGAGGACATGCTAACAATGGGCTACTTCTTAGACTTCCAAACCACAAGGCTACCGCCCAATAAAATACAATAACCTGAGGCAGATTGCTTAGTGTCAGACAGGCAGCCCAATCACTGTCACAGAAAGCAGAAACAAACAAGTCTGGTGAGGCATTCAAGAAGATCCCATGTTCAGAAGTACCCTTCAAGTACCTAAATAGATGCAGGCCAACAAACATGTGTGAAAGGTAGGGAGACTGCATAAATTGACTGAGTTATTGTACTGCATAGCTGATGTTAGGCCTCGTGTGAGTTAAAAAATTCAGCGTACCAATCAAAGATATGTATAGTTCAGGCTTGGGCAAAGGATCACCTTTATTTGCCTTAAGCTTCACATTTAGATCAAGAGGACACAAAACAGAAGAAATCTGAACAATGAAACTCAGACAACATATCATCAATGAACTTTTTTTGATGTAAGAGGAACCTAGTAGAAGAATATAGAACCTCAATCCCCAATAAATAGCTAAGAGACCCAGATCCTTGATCCTAAATTGTTGACGAAGGAAGGAATTTAAGGCAGAAATCTCATCAGAATCAGTCTCAGTCAGAATTATGTCATCCACATACACAGCTAAAATCACAAAAGAATCCCCAGAACCCCTTGTGAAGAGGGAGTAATCATTCAGAGAGGATGTATAGCCTCTAGAAGATAGGGATTAAGATAATTTAGCATACCACTGTCTGGATGCTTGTCTTAAACCATAAAGAGACTTATGAAGCTTGCAAACCAGCTGCCCAGAATCAGAAGTGAAAGGAACATAATAACCAGGAGACAACTTCATATAAACCTCCTTATCAAGGTCCCCATGCAGAAAGGATTATTGACATCAAGCTAAAACAGGGGCCAATGTTTCTTGATGGCAACAACACCCAGAGCCTTGACAGTGGACATTTCACCACTTGAGAAAATGTCTTATGAAAGCCAACCCCTTCTACCTGTGTGTCACCCCTAACCACTAACCTGGTCTTATATTTTTCAATAGCACCATCAGCTTTATATTTAACCTTGTAGACCCATTTACACCCTATATGCTTCTTCCCCAAAGGCAAATCAACAACCACCCAAGTCCTATTAGTTTCAAGAGCCTCAAATTCATTCGTCATTGCCTCTTACCACTTCAATAATGGAGGTAGCATGAGAGAATGTATAGGTTTCAAATACAGGAGGCACACTAGTAGAGACAATGTTGGAAATAGAAGTAGAGCAGGAAGAGAAAAGTGTGCACACATAGTCCTTCAAATATCCTAGAGGATTATGAGGTTTAGAAGACGTCCTCACAGGAACCTCAGGAACAAAAGAAGGAGGAAGGGCAATAGGTACATCAGGAGAAGGAGAAGAGGCAATGCGTAAATCAGGAAAAGAATAGGGAGAAAGAAAAACAGATGAAGGAACAGGTGCAAAATATGAAGTAGGTGGAACAACAGGATCATCAAGAACATGAGGAAGGAAGAATACAGAGACATGTGTGTAAAAAGAATAAGGAAGTACAAAAGGAAAGATATACTCATGAAAAATAACATCTCTAGAGACAAAATACGATTTAGAGGTGAGATTATATAATTTGTAGCTTTTCCTAGCAAAGGGATAACCTAAAAAGACACAGGGCACGGACCTTGGCTCAAATTTGTCTCTATGAAATTTAAGAACAGTGGCATAACACAATCAACTAAAAGTTCTAAGGTGAGCATATGAGGGAGAATTACCATACAGTACTTCAAAAGGACTCTTGTTATGTAACAAGGAAGAAGGAAATCTATTTATTAGGTAGGTAGCAGTAAGAATGCAATCACCCCAAAAGGAAATAGGTAAAGAAGACTGAAAGAGAAATGCCCTTGCAGTTTCAAGGAGATGCATATGCTTCCTTTCCACAACACCATTTTGTTGAGGTGTGTGTGGGCAGGAAGTTTGATGAATAATACCTTTTTTCTGGAAAAGTATTTTGGAACCAGTAGAACTAGAGCCCAGCTCTAGGGCATTATTACTCCTCACAGTTTTTATTGTTGTATTAAAATGAGTCTCAACCATAGTAACAAAACTTTTGAGCATATCAAAAGCATTGCTCTTAGCCACCAGAAGGTGAGTCCAAGTAACTCTAGAGTAGTCATATACAATAGTAATGAAGTATCTTGCACTAGTAGTAGTGGGAGAATGGTAGGCTCCCCAAGTATCGATGTGAATGAGTTGGAATGAGTAGTAGAATGAGTAATACTATCAGGGAAAGGGAGTCTGGTTTGTCTAGCTAAGGGGCATATAGAACACGGAAAAGATTGTTTGGAAGAAAGAGAAGAATTGAGAGCAGATATATGTTTCATTCAGGAAAAAGGAATATGACCAAGCCTAAAATGCCAAATCACATCTATTTTATTCAAATTTGTATGAGCAGAATTACAATAGGGAACAGTGGAAGGATAATAGCAGACTCATGCTTATTAACACTATCAAAAATGGTAACATCAGAAATAGAACTAGGAGGACAAGCAACTAAAGAGCTAGAAACACGTGAAGAAGAAGTAAGAGGAGGAATCTCCAATTTGTATAAACCATGGTCCAATCTACCAAGAACCAGAGGCTTCTTCAGTGAAGAACCCTGTAAATAACACAAAGTGCTAGAGAATTGAGCTATGCCATCAAACTGTGAAACCAAATGGTAAACAGAGGTGAGGTTGTATTGGAAGGTGGGGACGTAAAGCACATTGTGCAAGGTAAAGTTAGGAAATAAAGTTAAAGAACCACAATTGGTGACTTTAACCTTATAACCATTAGGTAAAGAAACAAGACAGGCACTGGAAAGAGGTTGAATATTAAAAAGAAGTGACTTCTGAGAAGTCGTAATATCAGAGGATCCAAAATCTATAATCCAAACAAAACTGTCTACTTGTGAAAACAAACAGGATTTAAGTAAAACACTGTGTGTGGCTTCTCTACCTGCAAAGTAAGCAGAAGCCATAAGAGACTAAGAGGAATCACGATTGAGATAGGAATGTTGGAGAAGCTGCATTAGTTGAACATACTGGTGTTGAGTGATGCCAAGAATCCTAGAAGTATGTTCAAAAGGAGTAGCCTGAGCAAAAGAGTTGTCTAACCCAGAAGGCACTGATTGTGAACCAGAAGAATCAACCGATGCCTTAGACGCAGCCTTGCGAGGACCACCACCCTTGGTGAACTTGAAATTTTGTGGAAACCCGTGAAGCTTGAAACACTTCTCAATGATATGTCCAAGTTTCTTGCAATACTTGCAAGTGACAATAGATTTATGAGAATCAAAGGCTACCTTGGCAGGGTATGACTGTTTGGAAACCCCAGCATGGAAGGAAGCAAAGTCTAAAGAGAATTGAGAAGTTGCAGACACATATCTTTGTTTCTCATCACTTAGGAGAATACTGTAAATAGTATTCATGGAGGGAAGGGGCTTTATCATGAGAATATTACTCCTGACTTGGACATAGACTTCATTGAGACCCATAAGAAACTAATACACTCGTTGTTCTTCTGCGGACTTAGCATTCCTGCCACAAGTAAATCTATTTGGGGAGTTTACATTGATTGAAGCCAACTCATCCCAGAGTAGCTTAATCTTGTTGAAGTAAGAGGTTATATCAAGTGCACCTTGTGAAACATATACCAAGTCATTTTTTAATTCAAAGAACCTAGCCCCATTAGCTTGCCCATATCTAGCTTCTAATTCCCTCTAGATTTCTTTACAAACTCAGAATAAACAACACTCTGGTGAATTTCTCTAGTGACAGAATTAGCAAGCCATACAACAACCAAATCATTGCATCGTTGCCATTGACTAACTAAAGGGGAACCCTCAGGTGGCTTTTCATAAGTGCCATGGATGATCAAGTTTGTTCCTAACAGATAAAGCAACTAATATGGATATATGCCAACTTGCATAGGATGACCCATCAAAATGATCAATAACTAGAGAAGAACCCAACAAATCTAACGGATGGACATATAAAGGATGGCAAGGGTGTGTGTAGTCATCAGGATGAAATGGAAGATGTGTACTTGTAGCAGTGTGGGTTAAGTTCTTGCCAGTAGGTGAAGACGAAGTAGTAGATCTAATAGTCATGATTTAACGAAAGAAATAACAATAGCAAATCAAGTTTATCACAATCAACAAAGAGACACTATGTAAAAAATGAAGCAGAAAGTAATTGTACCGATCCTCATCGCAACCGGAGATGTACGACCTTCAAAAGAAGAGAGTCGCGAAGTAAAGTACCCCCTTCACCAATAGGAAACCCTAGATTCACGAGGAACTTGTAAAAGAACCAAAATTTCACAGCAAATCACCGGAAGAAACACAAAATGATTATCCTCAACAAAACTGCGCAAAAAAATTGCCAAAAAATCAGAATTTGTCGAAACTGACGAACCATGCCGAAAGATCACAAATCCGATGAAATTGAATGGGGTAATATCGGAGGATAGAACAGATCCCACTCTATGATATCCCTCGCTCTGATACCATGTTGATTGCAGAAAAGTAAATTTGTACAGAATTGTTCTAGGGTTTGATAAGAGATTGAGAGAGAAAAGAGTAACTTTTATTGATATTTTCGTACGAGTCTTTCACCTGTTACCAAAAATAGAAGTATCTAGAACTATAAAGTGAAATACAAGACCAAAGAAAAATATGGGCTTTCAGCCCATGTACAAATAATTATGTTGGGCCAATTAATGAAAGTGGGCCTTAATCTGGACTCTTCTCAATAATTCCAATACCCCCCTTCCCCCACAACCTCTCTAATATGGATTATATAATTATTGACTATCTAATCTCCACTTATCATTCATATTTATCAATGTAACGGTTGAGAAAAAGAAGAATCCATGTGTATTAAACACCACATTTTCTCTCTCTTTTTTTTTCCTTGACCTCAATGAGAGTTAAATTTGCATTTTATCTGGTTAAAAATTCTTCAAGTTCCTTTTTTTTTCTTTTTTTCGGCAAGCTCGGAAATGTAAATTAAAAATGATAAGATTCATATAAAACATTAAATATCCTTATAAGACAGCTATGAAATAGAGATGATTCAAAGTGATACTATAATATGGAAATTTTACCTCCTATAGCAAAGGTATATACCTATTTATTATAAACCAAAATTATATTAAAATATTATTTTCTATAGCTACTTTTTATATTTTATAGCAAAATAAGTATTTATGGTTTATACTACCATTGAGGCATGCAATACGTTATTTATGTTTTTCCTCTCTCTTAGACAACTGGACATACTTATTTTTAAAGTGATTGTCGTTACTGTATTCATGAATACAGCAGCGCGAATACATGTGAATACATGCGCGTACAGTTGGACTGCCATGATTTTAGGCGCTTTTTGCTGTTGTATTCATGAATATGTGACGCGAATACATGTGAATACATGCGCGTACAGCTGGACTGCCCTGATTTTTAGGCGCTTTTTGCTATTGTATTCATGAATACAACAACGTGAATATAACGAATATACTACCGTAACAACTGACTAGTAGCTATTGGAAGTAATTATGTATATGGTAGTTATAGGAAGTTAATAGCCACTAAACAATAGTGGTTTCTGATAAAGCTGAGAGACTTCATAACCTTGAGTTTTTGTTCCCTAAAATTAGAGGCTCTATAATCTTAATTACGTGACTGATAAAAATAAATTTGTAATCGTTTCTAATTCCGAGTCTCATTGAGGTCGATTAATTACTCAATTTGTGTTCAAATGGCAATGAAAAATAAATTTATTGTTTCAGCTCTCTCTGTTTCAGCATTTAAAAAAAAAAAAAAAAAAGTTCTTATCCAAACGACGACAAAAATTCAAGAATCCTCTTTGTCCAAAATCAGAAACCATACTTTTTTTAATATCAAATAGTATATATTTTATCATAAAAGTAGCATAGTTTAATTTGTTGATTGAAGAATACGAACTGGCCAATGTGTTGAAGGTTTCTATAAGGTGTCCTTTGAACAATTTAAGAGGCAAAATAGCTGGTAATATCCATCCAAAAAAATGCATTTCCTTTTCACATGTAACACCCTTTTGTTTAATCATCAGTAGTTTTCTCCCAAAAATAAAATTAATAAAAATTACAATGTCCTTTTCATAATTCCGTAAATAAGTATATCTCTCGTTTTTCCTCTTTATATTCATAAACTTTTAATGCCAAAAGCATCCAAAACTTTTAATCATTGCTTACCAAATTTAACATGCTCCTTTTGCCCCGAAATGGAAATATAACACTAATGGAATATAAAAGTCAACGAAGATTTCTTTTTTCTTGAATATTTTGTGTCTATATGATTTCGTTTCCATTTCTTTGTCTTTTTCTTTTAAAATTTTGGGTTGATTACTTAAAAGATAAATATAAATATTAGCCACTATATCAAGAATGTTAAATATTAGCTATATATATATATATATATATATATATATATATATATATATATATGACAAACAAAGAGGAGAACTTGAGACAAATACTATGATGATTTTAGAGAAGCGTAGGATTTCTCGTCTAATTAACTTTCGTTGTACTAATCAGCTGCCAATGGGTACTAAAGTTTATTAATGAGAGTGGCCTATAATGTAATATATTAAACTAGAGGGGGAGCTGTATGTAATATTCCTCTATAGGTGGAGGTACTGTACGTGCCTAAATTTAATTAACGATCAAATAATTGATTGTAATTCTCTTTGGATTGTTTAAGCTATAATAAAAGTTGAAATGAATCAGATAATTGTGGTTGAGTATTCCATTAATCAGAATGGTAATCATGAGTTCTACCAAACATGATAATTGATTATCAAAAACAACAGAATTTCCATAATTTATCAATCCGCAAAAAATAAACCTAAACTTTCTCATGCTATTCAATACATACTAATTAGTATAATATTAGTCATAAGGCATATTTGCGTGTAATGTCTTACTATTATTATTGGGGTAAAGATATGAAAACATTTCACATCATGACACAACCAGTAGTCCCATATTATTATTTTTTTGGAAACAAAAAAAGTTATATCTCTATTACATGAGGGAATTAAAATGTATGGGTTCACGGGCGTGATTTTATTGTGTTTAGATAAATAAACGATGCTTTGATAAATATGAAGAAAAAAAAACATATAGCCTGTGGAAGATTAGTAGATTACTATGCTAAAAAAATTTAAAAATAAAATAAAATAAAAAAGATTAGTAGATTACTATAATGTGGGCTACTAATTAAATCAAGATTGGAACACTTAGGAGAAAACAAGGTGTTTTTCTTGTTTTTTAGCTCTTGTTCGATACTGTGTGGAGAATCCATTTGAGATTTCACTTTTGGGCTTCTTCTTTCTGCTACAATAACAGCTAATAATAATCAGTTCGGTATTTATGCATGCAATTTTTTTTAATTTAAATTTATAAATGCAGTTTCACCTGTTATAATCGGTCATTTTACCATCCTTTGCAGATTACAATCATTCTTTCCCTAAGTTACATGTAATTGTTGTTCTTTTTTGTCTTCTTTGTACTTTCAGTACATATTAGTTAAAACTCTTTTTTTTTCGTAGTCATATTAGTATAGATCAAGTATTCGTATTTAATTTGTACAAATTTTAAACAGATCACAGTTCTAGCTTGTTGATCTATGGGAGTGTACTCAGTGATAGTGGCGTACGTAGAACTTCTTACAAGCGGTATCACATTAAAATAAATGAACACATAAATATTGTCATTAACGTTCAATAAGAAGGAAAAAGAGGGGTTGAGGGGGGGGGGGGGGATATTTCAGAAAAANGGGGTGGGGGGGGGGGGGGTGATATTTCAGAAAAAGAAGAAGAAAGCAATAAATAAATAAAGCTAAACTGATTGAGTATTTTGCTGTAGAAGGGGAAAAAAGAAGAAGCCCAGCTATACTGGACTGGGATCCTGCCACCTCCTTGATAAAATGTACTGTCCTTTCCACTGCACCAAAAGGAATCAGTTCTGCAAGTGGTGTCATCCATTTACATTTATAACGTTTTTAATGTTCACATATCATTTTATACATATAATTTGTTAAATTTTTTCACGAAGCGGTGTCACGTGACACCGCTTCACCCTTGGTAAATCCGCCCCTGCTCAGTGAGGGAGCCACATGCGAGGATTCAACTGAATCACTTTCGTCGAAAAGTTATAAATATAATTTGAATCCCTTGGGGCGGCTCAACAATATTGATGGTGTTATGAAACAATAAAAGAAAAAGAGTAGTATTGCAGAGAAAAGTAGGGAGAGGGAATTCTTATTAATTTGGGATGAATTACAATAGAATAAAACCCTCTATTTATAGGGAGAGGGTGACTTAGCCACCAAGTAATGAACCCTAGAATCTCTCTAAATATAGACATTCACCATAAATATAATTCTATTTATAACACTCCCCCTTGAATGTCTATTCAACAAATAATGTGACTCGCTAAAACCTTAACTAAAATAAAACCCAATGGAAAAAAAATTCTAGAAAAGGAAAAAGAGTACACATGTTTAGAAATACGCCTTTTGGTTGCCTCGTTAAAAACCTTGCAAGGAAAAACCAATGGGACAAAACCCTGTAAGAAAAAAAGAGTGCAACGCACATTAACTCCCCTTGATGAGAGCATCAATTCACATCCTTGAGCCTTCGCATCTCAATCTTGTACACCATCTTCAAGAGATCGTTAGAGATTTGATAAATAAATCAGCCATATTAACTTGAATGAATATTTTGCACCCTGAAATCATCATTCGTAATAGATGTAGACATGTGATTTTTGACCCACCCCAAGATTTTTTATATTTAAGCATTTAAATATTTAATTTAGGCCTAATATAGCTAATTTAACTATTTTTGACTTCTTTACTTTATTTTCATCATAAAAATAAAAAATTACAAAAAATATTTTAGTGTACATATCTTTCGTAAATTTAAATAAAAAAAATATATACAAAATAGTACCTTATCTTTATTTTTATATAATCTTGAGAACACAAAAATAGTTTTATGTTTTACAGTTTAGTTCAATTAATTAAAATTAGTTTTATATTTTTATATTATAATTGTACATAATTTTAGAAGGATGAATTAGTTTTAGGTTGGTTTATCCCGTTTTTATAAATCTTATAGTCCATTTTTCTAGTCTTTGGCCTAATTCCCTAGCCCATAATTCCTAGGCCCATACCCCTAACCTAATCCATACCCCAATGTAATAGTACCTACACCTAAAATACACATAGAAATAAACATAGAATCCGCCGCAGAAGAGACCTTGAAGACCCCCCCCCCCCCCNGGCTCATACCCCTAACATAATCCCTACCCCTATATAATAGTACCTACACCTAAAATACACATAGAAATACACATAGAATCCGCCGCAGAAGAGACCTTGAAGGCCCCCCTCCTATCATCATTTTCCTCATGAACCAACACCCCAAAACCCTAGCAACCTAGCTCCAACCACCAAGCCGCCGCTACTGCTTCTCCTTCCTGAAAAACCTCCAGCGAGCTTCTTCGTCTTCTTCGTGAAAAACCAGAAGAAAAACGCCAGGATGGCTCATCTTCGAACAAAAAATGAGACCCTCAGCTGA